AACCCCTTCCACCAATGTAGATAAGCAGTTGGCTTGTAGATTATAGTATTAGAATGAGATTTACTATTTACTATATGCCTATGGCCACATAGCTAGTATGTTTCACTAGAAAGAGTGAAGTCCTTTTTCTGGAATTCAAGGAGGATACTCTATCTACTAGAAAGACTAGCTTCTAAGTATTTACATAGCACCATACAGTGTGCTTGAGCAACTCGGAAGCACAGTGGATAGAATACAGGGCTTGGAGTCAGGAAGGCTCATCTTCCTGAGTTCAAATCCAGCCTCAGACACTTACTAGCTGTGTCTCTGGGCAAGTCACTTGATCCTGTTTGCCTCAATTTCCTCGTCTGCAAAATGAACTGGAGAAGGAAATGGCAAGCCACTCCAGTCTCTTTGATGAGAAAACCCTAAATGGGGTCACAAAGAGTCAGACAGACACAGTTGAAAAGTGACTCAATAACAACAAAATATAATGTGCTATTGTCAAGAAAAAGTATGTTACAGTCTTCGCTGTCAAAAAGTTTATATTCTAGTTGGAGACAAGAAACGGACTTAGGAACATTTAAATAAGAAATCAATATAGTATTTGGATGATCTCAGTTCTGTTATGGTCTTTGATATTTACCAATTATGTGACTAGATACTAAGTTACTTCACCTCATTCAGCCTTAGTCTTCTTATCAGTAAAATGGGTATGATAATAAGACCTTTAGTAACTGCTTTATAGGACCAATTAAGATAATATACGTAAAGTGCTCTGCAAACTCTAAGGGGCTGCCAAAAAGCCACTTGTGGTGATGGTCATCATAGTTGTTGCCATGAGCATGGCATAATGGATAGAAGGTCATCTTGAGATTCAGGAAGACCTGAGTTTAAATCACCCCTCTGATATCTGTATGACCATGAGCAAGCCATTTAACTGGACTCTTGGCTCACTCCACTTTGCATCTGCCACTCTGCTTGCCTGGTTTCAACTCTAGATAACAAAATATTCTTGCTCCAGGTACGCCCTGTTGTCCCCCTTCCTGCCTTCTTTCCTCCTTTTGTATGTTGGCTTCCCCTTTAGATTTTAAATTCAGGCAGAGACTGTCTTTCTTTTTGTTAATTGTATCCCCAGTGCCTAGCACATATTTAGTGCTTAATAAATGATTATGGGATTGGATTTATTGGATTTAACCTCTCAGTGACCTTAGGCCAGGAGTGGGGAACCTGTGGCCTGGAGGCCACATATAGCCCTCTAGGTCCTCAAGTGTGGCCCTTTAACTGAATCCAAACTTTACAAAACAAATCCTTTTATTAAGGATTTTATTATTAAGGATTTTTATAACAAAAATCCTTTTGTTATAACTAAAAGTTATAGACTAGTTGTTAATCTGCATAGATAGAGGGAGTTTCCACACAAAGATATCTTTATTCCCATGAAGTCACAGCTCCAGACAAAACTATGATGATGATTCACTGCCAAAATGGGCATTATGGACAATAAAGAATGTGTTATCAGAGTTCAGAAGTGGGAAAAATCAGTGAAGAATGGAATAGTTAAGGAAGGTTTTTCCTTTGAAAAAATGGGCAGGTTCTCCCAACCCTTGTCTTCTTTATATACCATTTCATAAGTGATGTCTCCTTCTCCCACACTCAAAGGAACATTATCAGCATCCACTGCTCTGATAGTGCAAGGCAGCGCCAGTCACTTCCTGTATAAAGCAATAGCCTCAGGCTTCAGGTGATTAGCCTTTCATGCAGGCGCTGACACTGCCCAAACTGGACACAACCTTAATCACTTGAAGATCGATTAGGTAACACTGCACTCTAATGGTGGTATAAGTTTACCTCAAACAGAGGAAATTCAATACTGTGTCAGAGTTGCCAGCTACACGAAGACTGCAGGTATGGAATATATATTAGAAGGTGCTTTTCCAAAGACAGCTATCTTTAAAGTTAGTTAGGGACACACATTCTGCATGAGGAGGGTGGACCTTGGAGGTCCTTTCTAGTGCTAAACCAATGAGCCTGCCATCCTATTATAGTCAATGACTACAGATATTCCTCAGAAGCAACTCAGAAGAGTATTTTGTTGGCTTTTCTTGGGGCATAGGAAAGAGTGCTAAATTTGGGGTCACAAGATCTGGAGTGAAATCTTGGCTCTACCATTTGACTAGCTATGCAACGTCGAGGAAATGATTTTACTTTTCTGTTCTTCTTTTCTCACCTGTGCAATAAGTAGGTTGGATTAGATGAACTTAAAGGTCCCTTCTAGCCCCAAATATATGATCCGATGATCTTTTGAAATATCACCACCTGTATACTTTATTTCTCCTTTCCTTTGATGTTTTCCACTTTGGGGTGATTCTCATATGTATGATACAGCATTTCTCAGGCAACTCCCTCTCTCAGGGACCCTGAGCTGATTGATGATATTTAAAAAAAAAAAAAGGAACAGGGAATCTAAGGATTCTCTCATTGTGGACCCCAGGCATCACCAAGGAATACCTGAATATATCCGAGTCTACAAGAGGTTCAATGAAGTGAGACCTTGAGGTAATTACACAGAAAATTTCAGCCCTGTCCCTCTCTGCCTCTATTCTATTGAGGTGAGTTTGGAGAATCTCAGTCTCTAAACTAGCTCTCTGCACCAAACTTAGGCACATCCTCCCTGTCATTTTGAACATGCCAGGCATTATGCAAACCTAAATATATCTTCCCTGGAATGTTATCTGAAATGATTTGAGCCAGTATAGAGCTTAAGGGAGCTGTCATCAGTTTATTTGTGAGTTATTTCACACAAAATACTGTAACCCAAGTGTGATTTAGTGAGAGTGATTTCATAAGCAAAAACCATCCTGAAGACTCTCATAAGCCATTTTGAGGTTTTCTTGTAAAAAGAAGTGGAAGAATGGCATGAAGAAACTATGTTGGGACCCAGAAGATTGGCAATGAGTTCTAATAATGGATCTGGACAGTTAACTAGTGCTTAGAAGCATTTAACATACTGATTTTTAAAAGCAGTTGTGAAATGAGAATATTGATACATTTACCACACTGAATGTCAAGATAAAGTGGTTTGAGTTTTAGCTAAAACTTTATCTGTCTATTTATCTATGTGATGATTAGGATGTCACATGAATTCAGGGAACATGGGCAATTATGTATCATTCTGAGCAATGGGTTGGTGGGTAGGTAAGGAAGAATTCAAGTGGCTGAATGCTAGATTGCCTATTTAAGTATCTTTTATCGACAAAGAAATTGCTCCACCTTCACTCCACGCTCCCCCTCCCACCTTGGATTTGTATGGAATTGCTCCATAAAATGGCATCTAGAGGAAACACAACAGTATGAGTTTGGAGATCCCTACCATGCATCTGGGCAGGTAGGTGGTGCAGTGGATAGAGCCCCAGGCTTGGAGTCAGGAAGATGAGTCTTCTTAAGTTCAGATCTGGCCTCAGATGCTTACTAGCTGTGTGACACTGGGCAGTCATTTAACCCTGTTTGTCTCAGTTGCCTCATCTGTCAAATGAGCTGGAGAAGAAAATGGCAAACCACTTCAAGTATCTTTACCACAAAAACCCCAAATGGGGTCATGAAGAATTTGAAATAACTGAACAACAACAACAAAAATCATGAGCCTATCCCTACCAACATCCACTGAAGAGTAAATATGAAGGAGAATGAGCTGCTAGATGAGTGGGAGAAATGAAGGTACTGTATAGTCTACTTCAAATGTTGCTGATCAACTTACTTGTCTTTTATTTATCTTACAAAGAACGAGATAGTCCTTCTTTGAGTAACCATGAAATAGTTTATACTAAGCATTTTTAATGTGGTAAAAGAACTTCTAGGGATCATGTAGGAAAACAATATACACACACATATATTTTAATCTGGAAGGGACCCCTTTAATTTTACAGATTAAGAAACTGAGTCCAAGAGAAGGTCTGAGTTTTCCAAGATCACAGAATTAGTTTATTCTCTGCCTTCAATAGAACCATAATCTTATTGGAATGGAAATTCCCTTTTCCCCATCCATGTTTTCTCATTCTGAATAATTCTTATCCATGTATTTCCATAAAGCCTCTAAAGACAATCTCCCCCAAGTAATTGGATGCCTTCCTCTAGGTCTTTTCAAACATTGTGGGTACTAACAATATTTGAACTCTCTGTCATTACCTTACTTTCTCTACTTCACCTCCTTTTCCAGTAATATATATCACTGATGATTTCTTTCATCTGCTTTTCATGAACAACCTGTTATTGGTAACAGAGCATAGGTTATTTTAACCCACTATGCATGCCTTTGGGGATATCCTGCAATTGTGATCCATCTGAAACCAACGTTTCATGATTCACAGTTATATTGCATCAGCAGGAGAATATTAATGTTAATTGGAGGAGTTTAAAGCAGGAAGCTGCATATGAGCACCAAAAGCACTGTACAATTTCCTAAATGCAGTCCAGTCTATTCTCCTTTTATTCAACTCTGTATCCAGCTCATTATCCATGAGCTGGACCCTATAACATATGGTAACAAACAGCAACAGCATTTATGAAGAGCTTAGAGGCTTACCAAGCACTTCTTTCCTAACAACAATCTGAAGGAACTAACGTAATCATGATGAAGATGACTGGCATTTACAAGACTAAGATTTTCAAACAACTTTACATATCTTATATGATATCTTATATGATCCCATAATAACCCTGTGAGGTAATAAATTTTTTTTCACATTCATTTTACATATTAGGAAATTGTGGGTCATAGAACATATATGTTCATGTACATACAGAGGTCAATCTTATTCTTAAAGTTTAAGCCATTAATTGGTCTGAACTTAAGTTAAATGCTAAGGTGAGGATCTGTTATAGAAGGAGGGGAGATTAGAAAGTCTAAACTTAAAAGCAGGAGGAAGCCTTTTGCTCCTGATCTGTTTCTGGACCTCTGCTTTCCCATCTGCAAAATAAAAGGGTTGGGCATAATTACTAATGTTTTCTTTTTCCCCCCCTAGTTGGAAGACTTCATGATCCTAAGACCTATCAATATGATCTTATAATGCTGATTGTGGAAGGAGGTCTAAAGTGAAATCCCTTGAGAATCTGCAGTTGGCCCTTCCATTATTTAACATTTTTGTGAATGACTTAAATAAAGGAACTAAAGACTTGCATATCCCATTTGCAGAAGACAAAGCTGGGAAGGATAGCTGAGGTAGGTTCTGTAAAGATAGTGGCAGGTAGGAATATTAGACAAAATTGAAGATGAAATTTAATAGTGGTAAAAATACATACTTGACTTCAAAAAAATCAACTTCAGAATTATTAGGTGAGATACAGCTAGATAGAGTTCATTTGAAAAAGATCTCGGGGTTTTAGTGGATTACAAATTCAATATGAGTCAATAATGTGATATGGAAAGCCAAAAGAGGTAATAGAATCTTAGGCTATATTAAGAGATGTGACGTATGTTTCATAAGATCTTTTTATGTGTGTTTTTTTGTCATTAAGTAGGTAGGTAATAAGCACATTTTGAACATGTACCAGGCACTGCTAAGCTTTGGAAACAAAATGTGAGTAAAAGGACAGTGCCTACCCTCATTTACATTCAAATGAGGGAAGGTAACAAAAAAAAGGGATCTGGAAATCGATAGGGGTAGGGAGGAGTTATTCTGATTTGAAAGTTAAAATAATAGCAAAATTTTAAAAAATGGCTAGAGATTTAGTTTTGTGGTCAGAAAGTCCTCGGTTCAAGTTCTGTCTTGGAGCCATATTAGTTATGTAATGCAGGCATATTATTTAACTTCTCAGGGCCTCAGCTAACTAAGACTATAAGTGATGCATCAGAGGCTGCTCTTCATTGATAGAGAGTTTTCTAATCAGAGTTCCCTAAAGAAATGAAATCAAAATCTGTTTCAAACAAACAAAAAACAAAAATGGTAGAAAGTCCATGCATCATATTTCAAGGGGTGCTTGGGTCTAAATTTCTAATGTACTTATGTTTTTCTGTTTTTGTTTTTCAGCTCTCTTGCAGTTTGCTTTGAAGAGGAGAGGTTGAATTCAGAAATGGAAATAGTAGAGGTAGGGGGAAGGTGGCAAAGACTGAAAATTGAGCAAGAAAATTAGGAACATTCAAATCCTGTCTTAGTTCAAAAAGTGAAAATGAGTTTTTCTTTCTCATCAATTTTTCATTTGTGCTTTGGTAAAATCACACCCACAGATCCACCACAGCCCACTTGGCTGAAACACAGTAAAGTTTCTTATTTTGGCTGATTTTGTCATCAGTCAACTGGCTTGAATTTGTCTCATCTAATTTGATCAGGACATGCTTCAGTCCAGTTTAGTCAGAGATGGAGCTCATTTAAGTATGATAGGTGAAGAGGTTAAGTATTGGAATCAAGAGAGGGAGGAAGGGGAGAGAGAGAGAGGCAAAGAGAGATAGACACAGAGACAGGGACCAAGAGACACTGAGGCACAGAGAGAGACAGAAGATAGAGTGTTCTGCCACAGCTGTCGGACTGAGTGTCATAGACATGGAAAAGAGGATTCTGTGATAGATAGACTGCATGAATGTGAAAACTACACAAAGACAGGACATCAGTTTATTCATGCCATTTTCCAGTGCCCTATAGGTCTTATCTTCATAGAAAGAATGGTCTAAGATGAGATTTAATGGGTATGCACCTGCCACTAATTCTGAATGCACAGTCATAGCAGACCATACACTCCCTCCACTGCTCAATTCTTTCTCACCACTGGCTGCATCCTCTCTTTTCTATCTTAACTCTTTTTTGAATCAGCTCAACTCTACACTATACTCTACTCTCAAATCCTCTTTTGTTCACTGATCACACTTCTCCAAAGCCCAAACTTGGATTATTTCTATCATCTGCATCCTTTGTTCCTATTCATGTGCAAAACTGGAACCACGACCAATTTTGGTTACACAATCTCAAATGGGCCTTATCTGCAGTGGAGCAATACTTTTACACTCCTTAATCAATTTACTATCCTAATCACCACAATGGCTATTCCCAACCTTTTCAAATTTCCTCAAGATTACCTGGACACCTGTTCTCCTCAATCTTCTCAAATTAGGAACTAACCTCATACTTCACCCAAAAAACTGAGGCCATTCTCTGACACCTCTGTCTCCTCCCCTCCTCCTTCTGACCTCATATTCAACTAAAATTATCTTTCACAATTATCTCACCAATTATCTCTTAATTGACAAATGAAATGGCCTTTTCTTAGGCATTTCTCTTGATATCTCTATGGTACTTGATCAAGCTCTTTTCCTGGATATGCTTTCATTTTTAGGTTTTTGTGACACTGCTCTCTCTAGATTTTCTCATCTGTCTGTCCACCCCTAATCAGTCTCCTTCTCTGGAACTTCACCCATGTCATGCCTACTAACCATTGTTATCCTCCATTTGTCTTACTTTGGCCTTCTAATCTTGTTTAGTAATCCCATCAGCTCCCACGAATCCAATGATCATCTATGTAGAAGATGCAAGAGTTTTCATATCCAGTCCTAGTCTCTATTCTGAGCTATAGTCTGGTATCACCGACTGCCTTTTTAAAAAATTATTTATTTTTAGTTTTCAACATTCACTTCCACAAGATTTTGAGTTCCAAATTTTCTCCCCATCTCATCCCTCCCCCCAACCCAAGATGGCATGCATTCCATACACCCCTTCCCCTATTCTGCCCTCCCTTCTATCTCTCCCCCCTTCTCTTATCCCCTTCCCCTTCTATTTTCCTGTAGGGCAGGATAGACTTGTACCCCATTTCCTGTATTTTTTATTTCTCAGTTGCATGTGAAAACAATTTTTTTTAACATGTGTTTTTAAAACTTCGTGTTACAAATTTTCTTTCTTTCTCCCCCCTCCATTGAAAAGTTAAGCAACATAGGTTATACATGTGTAGTTAGTAATGCAAAACACTTCTATAGTAGTCATGTCAAGTATATTTCCCTTAATCTTATCCTACCCCCCAATTTATCTTTTGACCCTGTCCCTCCTCAGAAATGTTTGCTTCTGATTATCCCCTCCCCCAATCTGCCCTCCCCTCTATCATCCCCCTGCTCTTTTGTCCCCTTCCCCCCCTTATTTTCCTGTAGGGTAAGATAGATTTCCATACCCAGTTGTGTATGTTATTCCCTCCTTAAGCCGAATCCTATGAGAATAAGATTCACTCATTCCCTCTCACCTTCCCCCCATTTCCTCTCCACTGTAAAAGCCTTTTCTTTTCTGTTTCATGTGAGATAATTTACCCCCTTCTACCTCTCCCTTTCTCCTTCTCCCAGTATAATCCTCTCTCACCCTTTAATTTTATTCTTCAGACATCCCCCCTTCATCTTCCACTCACCCTGTGCCATCTATCTATCTATCTATCTATCTATCTATCTATCTATCTATCTATCTATAATTTTTTCCCCTCCCACTACCCTAATCCTGACAAAGGACTCATAAGTTACAAATATCATCTTTCCGTGCAGGAATATAAACAGTTCAATTTTAGTAAGTCTCTTACGATTTCTCTTTCCTGTTTACCTCTTCATGTTTCACTTGAGTCTTATATTTGAAAGTCAAATTTTCTATTCAGCTCTGGTCTTTTCATCAAGAATGATTGAAAGTCCCTTATTTCACTGAATGACCATTTTTTACCCTGAAGGATTATACTCAGTTTTGCTGGGTAGGTGATTCTTGTTTGTAATCCTATCTCCTTTGCCCTCCAGAATATCATACTCCATGCCCTCTGTTTCCTTAATGTAGAAGCTGCTAAATCTTGTATTATCCTGATTATGTTTCCACAATACTTGAATTGTTTCTTTCTGGCTGCTTGCAATATTTTCTCCTTGACCTGGGCACTCTGGAATTTGGCTATAATATTCTTAGGAGTTTTCTTTTGGGGATCTCTTTCAGGAGGTGATCGGTGTATTCTTTCAATTTCTATTTTGCCCTCTGGTTCTAAAATATCAGGGCAGTTTTCCTTGATAAGTTCTTGAAAGATGATGTCTAGGCTCTTTTTTTGATCATGGCTTTCAGATAGTCCAATAATTTTTAAATTCTCTCTCCTGGACCTATTTTGCAGGTCAGTTGTTTTTCCAATGAGATATTTCACATTGTTTTCTAATTTTTCATTCTTTTGGATTTGTTTTACAGTGTCTTGATTTCTCATAAAGTCACTAGCTTCCAATTGCTCCATTCTAATTTTTAAGGAAGTATTTTCTTCAGTAAGCTTTTAGACTTCCTTTTCCATTTGGCCAATTTTGCTTTTTAGGGCATTCTTCTTCTCATTGGCTTTTTGGACCTCTTTTGCCATTTGGGTTAGGCTGTTTTTTAAGGTGTTATTTTCTTCAGCATTTTTTTGGGTCTCCTTTAGCAAGCTGTTGACTTGTTTTTCATGATTATCTTGTACCACTCTCAGTTTTTTTCTCTACTTCTCTTACTTGCTTCTCAAAATCCTTTTTGAGCTCTTCCATGACCTGGGACCAATTCTTATTTTTCTTGGAGGCTTTGGATGTAGGAGCTTTGACTTTGTTATCTTCTTCTAGTTGTATGTTTTGATCTTCTTTGTCACCAAAGTAAGATTCCATAGTCTGACTCTTTTTGTGCTACTTACTCATGATCCCAACCAATTACTTGAGTTGTAAACTCTTTGTTAAGGTAAGGGTCTGTTTCCAGTGTGGAGAATGTACTGTCCCAAGCTTCAGGGGTTTTGTGCAGCTGTTTTCAGAGATACTTCTAGGGACCTGAAAATTTTCAGTTCTTCCAAGATGCTATGATCAAGGGTGAGGTGTTTACTCCTTTCCTGGCCTGTGCTCTGATCTATGAGTGACCACAAGCACTCTTTTCTGTCTTGGAACTGTTGAGGAGGGTTCTTTCTTTACAGCCACTACAAGCTCCACCATGCCAGTGCCCCTCCTTGCCCCAGGATCACCATCCAGAACTGTGACCCAGATCCAAGCAAGGGCAAACAAGAAAATCCTGCACCAGCAAAGAGATCTCTGCAATCCCCCTCTGATCAACCACTAGATTCCTCCTCAGTCTGTGGGCCAGAAACTCTGGAAGCAACTGCTGCCCCAGAGCCAGGCCCAGGGACTGGGACCGGGACTGTGCTTTTCTCTCTCACCCCAGACACAGACTTTTCCCACTGACCTTCTAAGTTGTTTTTGGCATTCATGCATTGAGAAGTCTGGAAAACACCACAACTGCCTTTGATTCAGTCCTCTGAGGCCTGCTTCAGGTTCACTGAGGCCTGCCTTACCTATATGCCTACCCTAAACTGCGTTCTTCTCCCTGCTCAGTGGGATATACCATTCCAATCAACCATCCAGGTTGTCTTGGGTTGGAAATTTGTTTCACTCTGTCATTTTGTGGGTTATGCTGCTTTAGAATTTGTTTAGAGCCATTTTTCATAGGTATTTGGAGGTGTTTGGGGGACAGCTCAAGCAAGTCACTGCTTTTACTGTGACATCTTGGCTTCGCCCTCCCCTGACTGTCTTTTGAATGTTATTATATTTCTGCATAAACCTTCCTTCTTCCCAATTCTTATATTACTGTCTAGGGAACCACCATTCATCTAATCACCCAGGCTTACAGTGTTACTGTCATCCTTATCTTCTCATTCTTCTCACCCCACATGTCCAATATACTATCAAGCCTTGTCTTTCATGCCTTTACAAGTTGTCTCAGATACATTCCATTATAAATATCACGTAGCTGCCACCTGGTACCTTTCATTGCTTCATGATTTAACAAGTGCAATAGCATTCTGACTGGTTTCCCAACTCAAGTCTCTTCCCACTCCAACCCATCCTTAGCTGCCAAAGTGATTCTGTATAAAGTGCAGGTCTAACCATGTCACTGACCAACTCACAATCATTTCTGGTGGCTACCTATTACTTCCTGGATCAAATTTTAAAAAACATTCTCTCTTTGACATTTAAAGGTCTTTACAACTTGGCCTCTTCTACCATTTCCATTTTTACCCCACTTTACTGTCTTGCACAGCTGTATTGTCTCACCTGATGTTCCTCACACACATCATTCCATCTCCTACTTCCATCCCTTTTAGTTTACTTCTGCCTCCTGGCTTAAGTAAATTTCTTTAATATTCAGCTCAAGTCCCACCATCTGCAGGAAACCTTTATTCACCTCCCTTCCACTACTTCCCCTATTAGTATTTTTCCTCTGAGATCACCTTCCATTATGTACATAATGTACATAGTTATT